GCTACCACGCCCGGCTGATTTTTTGATTTATTGTAGAGATGAGGTCTCGCTGCCCAGGCGGGTCTCAAACCCGCAGGTTCAGGCAATTCACTCACCTCAGCCTCCCAGAGGCGCGGGATTACAGGCTGAGCCACTGAGCCCGGTTTGAAGATTGTTTTAAGTTCATAAGTTTAAGTTCACACAATGATAAAATTGGTGCCTCAAAGATAATAATTGCTCCAGTGCCTATCTTAAGACAAAGATGTTTTCCAGGAGGTTGCCAAGCATAAGGGAAAACAGCCAAATCACCATTATCCTAAACTTAAAAGCTCACTAGCAATTATGCAACCATAATAATTTTAGTTGTGTTAGTTTTATTTCATTATGTTTAGTTCACTTTATATGTTTATTCAGAGTAAAGATTAGTGTATGTATTTTCACAGTAAGTGACTTTCATAGTTATTCTTTAAACGCTAGCCACTGTTGTTTGGTCAAGTTAATGGGCTTCACTAGGTACAATCTATAGTTTTGTTTTAGTGATTTTAAGCCTTTTTTAATTAGACAAGTGATGTGGAACCGAAATCAAAGTAAACCTTGTATGTATTATGTTTAGTTTAAGTGAAACTCCTTTTAAACTTATCTCAAGACTCATTAACTGAAAGTAGATAGTGTTCTTGGCTTGTTCATTTCTTCTAAGACCGCTAGATGGTGGTAACTTTTAAAGGATATGTATGTGAAGGAATTTTCTTTGTCTTGCCCCTTTACTAATAGTATAAAAGCTTTCTGTTAACTAATAAACGATGTCATCTGTTCAGGAAGCAGGTGTCCGAGTATAATATTTTCATCTTTCGTCTATCCGTCTTTCCTTCAGGAAACCTCACGACCCGGCAAGGGGCTAGACCCCTTCAAAAATGAATACTTAAATTGTGGTAAACTCAGAGTACAAGTAGAATACTATTAATATATAGCAACTCAACTAACCCTGCACATTAAACACATAAATTAATTTAATTTTTTTTTGTTTTGAGTCAGAGTCTCACTGTTGCCCAGACTGGAGGGCAGTGGCATGCTCATAGCCACCACAGCCTCAACCTGATGGCTGATGCGATCCTTCCATCTCAGCCTTCCAAGTAGCTGGAACCACAGGTATACCACTATGCCCAGCTATTGATTGATTGATTGGTTGATGGTAGAGATGAGGCCCAGGCTGGTCTCTAACCCTTGGGCTCAGACAGTCCTCTCGCCTGTGCCTCCCAAAGTGCTGGGATTACAGGCGTGAGCTACTGTGCCCAGCCACATGATTGAATTTTAAACAGAAACTCCAAAATGCAAGTTGAAGAAGACTTCATATGAGATGCTATATGTAGAAAGCTTTCAAACTAAAACACGAAACATGTTGAGAAAATATATTAATACATGTGAGATTAAAAAAGGGCAAAGGAACAATTTAAAAAATAATGGTTGGGAGATACAGGTAAGGAGAGAGGACAGGGAAGAATACACTTGTATATATAATGAGCAGCTGTGTTTTTAGTTGGGGGATGAGTTTATGAGTGTTAATTTTGTTATTCTCCAGCTTTTCTATATATCAACTATTACACAATACAAGCATTCTTTGGAAGAAGCCTATCTCCTAGAGACTTTGTGGAATGGTGGGAAAAGTCCTTTTCTGTAGTCTGAGGCAGCCTACTTTTCCTGCAAAAGGCAGATAGTAAACACATTAGCCTTGTGGGCCATATAGCCTCTGCTGTCACTGTTCAACTCTGGTGTTGCACTAGAGAGCAGCCATAGCCAATATGGAAACAAAGGAGTATGCCTGTGTTTCAATAAATCTTTATTTATGAAAAGAGGTGGCTGGCTGGATTTGGCCCATGGGGCTTATTTGCTGACCTCTGGTCAAAGGTAACTTTTTAAAGTATAGGCTTTGCTATCTGCCATTCCATTTCTTCAACTTGAACACAGCAGAGACTCACAGGAAGCAGTTTACCAATTCACTTTTATTTCAATGTTAACAACTAGTACATTATCCTTGGCCTTAGGAAAATTCTACATGTTCCCCAAATACAAGCGCATTAATATATTTGAGGCCAAACAATTCAGAGTTTTTTAATTCACAAAGTGCATTTCTTCAGACAGTTTCAAAGTCAAATCAAGTAGCCACTAAAGGTTCAGAAATGATTAGGATGGACTACAGCTATGAAAACTAATAGTAATTCTTACACTCAGTAAATCAAAATCATATGCCGTGAGGTGTTCACTTACATATTTGTAGCTTAAAGGTCGGTGAATATCCTGTTTTCTGCCAAAGCAAAAACTATTGTGCCTACTCATTGTGGGTTAAGTCTAAGGTTTTCATATTCTTTACCTTAATTATGAATAGAATCTTTTTATAAATAACGTAACTTATTGGCTTTTAATATAAACTCCAATGACTGAATCTCAAAATAAAAACATATTTACTATCAGTAAACTCAGTTCTGTTTATAGTTTAGTTTTTACAAAGTTTTAGCCTTTTGGAAAATCTTACAGAAGTAGATATGGTGAAATAATTTCCTAAAGTACTTTTTTGCCCAAGTAGGCTGATACAAATCACTTCAAATTTTAATACAATACTAATCATGCCCCCACATTTTCTGGGTTCCTAATAGATCAATACAAAAAGCTTAAAAATGTATTTGTATTCATTTGAAATAAAAAAGACCATCCATTTTCCTAACACACAAGTAAGCTACCAAATTACTTTATAGAACCTCATTTTATTTTTCATTAGTGTCTTCCCTGTTTTGAAAAAGTCTTTCAAAATGTTTTCTGAGAATCCTTAATTTAGGATTACAGTTTTTGTTTAGCTTATACAGTGAAAATCGTGACAAGCATCTAAAAATCCATAATTAGTGCAAAAAGAGGAGGCAACAGTTTAAGTCATTCCTTCCTAGTATAAATAGAAATAAGGTTACTAAATGCCAGGTTTTAAGCAAATATATAGTTTCCTACTTTGCTTTCTGAAAGATAACAGATACAAAAATAGTTTAACATTAGGTTTAATGAGGCTTATACCACATGTATTACTAGCTTTATTTTAACTGCAAAAATATTTTCACTACATTTGGAAAACAAAATAAACTTATTGAGAATATAACTGCATATGTCTAAGGCCAGATGCAAGAATACTGATTCCTATCCTTTAAGTAAGATTCACGCCATAAAATTTATGCAACAGTCACTCCGCAGGAAGGAACACACTTAAAAATACCGTTTACCTGTGCGGAACTCCTGTTTCACAAAGCTGCGTCATCTGGTAAGGCTTTGGTGTGGGGGACCCCAGCACAGTCATCACTTCTTCTTCTTTGCCTCCTTCTTCTTTGCGTCCTTCATCGGCTCATCCTTCTCCCTTCCTGTGTTTCCATTTGCTGCGCCTTCATTTTCCCCCTGAGACTTGTCAACTATCTGGTAGTCCTCGAGGATGGTGTGTCCCGTCTGTGTTGCAGTCTTCTTCACCATGGCTTTGATTCCAATGTTGTTGATGTTGTAGGCAGTTACCCCAACGTTGACAGCGGAATCCACTGCGTTGTGGGTGGCTTCTCCAGCGTTATGCCCGTATCTTTAAGGAGAGATTAGAGAATATACAAGGAAACCACAGATATAAAACAAGGTCTTCTGAATTAGCGTTAAATAAGTCAATGATTACTGTTATCCCTGAAAACATAATCAAATTTCAGGTTTCCATTTAATGAATAACTTAAAAATAGTAGTGAATGAAACCACACTGTGCCAAAGTTCTGTTTTCACCTTTACAAAAACAGTGTGAGAAAAACTCAGACTAGCTGAGAATGAGGCAATAAAGACTGAATAAAAATAAAATGCAAATTATAATATAGGCTGATAATCAGTCATTATTTCTCTTTTCATCCTCCATTAATTACTGAAGTGTAATGGAAAATAGTCACTACAGAAACTAAGCTAGTCATTATAAATGGTTTTGAGTTCTACCTTAACCAGACTTCAGCCCGGAGGACTCCCTGGCCTCCTTGCTGTTCTCTGAACCCACCAAGCACACAAAGACCTCAGGACCTTTGCACTGGCTGGTCTCTGCCTGGACTTCCCATGGCTCACCACCTCGCTTTCTTCAGGCTGGCTCAACTCCTACCTTCCCAGTATCTAACCTGTTTAAATCGCTTTCTCCCACATGCCCCACCCCACTGCCAATCTCCTCTTAAATTTCTCTTTCTCCTTCCGTAACTTATCACTTTCCACATACCATAGAACTTACTCATGATCGTTGTTTATGTCTTGCTAGTTTCAGTAGAATATAAACCTCACCGGAGAGAATCTTTGCTTTGTTCATTAATGTATCCTAAACATTTACAACAGTGCCTGACATTAAAAAACATTCACTGAATGAATGAAATTAGTAATTCCTGCCCTATTCACCTCAGAGTGTTTTGGGCATCAAGTGTATAGCAAAGTGTTTGAGAAATTATAAAGTGTATACAAGAATGGTTATAGTACGAGTAGCACTAGATGCGTATTTTAAAATAATCTTTAAAGTGGTTTCTCATCAGCTGTGTTTACTTTTTAATATATCCTCACCTATCACCCCTGCTTCCCAATATGCCTTAGAACGAGTTTTCCTAATAGGCATCTGTTCTTCTAGACAAATAATTGCTCAATCCTCTTCCTCTGATTCAAACTACACTATTCAAAACTCCTAGAAAGCACATCTCCAGCCAGAAGACAAAGCTTATTTTTGATCTCTTCCTTTTAAATAAGTTGACTTTAGTTGGAGCTTACTAAGTTGGATTTCAAGTTGGAATCGCTAAATAAGTCAATGGGATTCAATCTACAATTTGAACCAGACTTTTCTGAAGTTTCTCCAAGGTGTTCAGTGATGTCAACAAAAACAGCACATTGGAAATGATTCTAATTTTGTACTAATTATAGCAAAATTTCAGCCATAAGAACTTTAAAATAAATCTGCCTATAAAACAATTTATATGCAACCTTCGAAACTAATCTCAGAAATACCTGCCTGAAATATTTAAATTAGTAATATTACTCCATCCATCACTGGCAGATGGGTTGTGGCTAATTCATGAAGGGTCTTGTAGGTAAAGCTAAGGAGTTTAAAATTTATCTTGAAATCAATGAGAATTTAAACAAGGAAAGGAATGACCAAATTTATGTTTTAGAAAGATCCCGCCAACTCAGGTTGCACTGTGAAATCACGAGAGTGTAAGACTAGAAGCAGAGGGACCAGTTAGGAAGCAAGCTGTGTGCTGGATGAGGAATGATGACGGTCTATTTTAAGGTAATGATAATAAGGCTTGAGAAAAAGAGATGAATATAAAAATCAACAGGACATGATGGCGGGATGTCTGTAGTGGCATGCCGTTGGGGTATATAAACCTAAAGAATTCAGACAAAAATTAAAAGAAAACACAGATTGAGAACTGTTGACATATACGTAGTAACTGCAGTCACAGGTGGAAATAAAATTATCCACAAAGAGTACAAGAGAATGGACACAGGACAAATCCTTACAAAGAACCCATATTCAACAAATGGACGTGGAAGACAATCACTCTGAGAAGAGTCTGATGAGATTCAACATACAGGTGAGCTAAATAAGAACGCTGCTGGTGGCTCAGCCTGTCATCCCAGTACTTTGGGAGGCCGAGGCGAGTGCATTGCCTGAGCCCACGGGTTTGAGACCCGCCTGGGCAACTTGGCGAGACCGCATCTCTACAATAAATCAAAAACTAGCCAGGTGTGGTAGCGCGTGCCTGTAGTTCCGGCTACTTGGAAGGCTGAGGCAGAAGGATCGCCAGAACCCCGCAGGTAGAGGCTGCGGTGGCTGGGAGCGTGCCACTGCACTCCAGTCTGGGCAACGGAGTGAGACTCCAACTCAAAAAAAAAAAAAAAAAAGAATGCTGCTAGGAGATTTGTCAACAGCTAGCCCACCAACTTCATAAGCATGAAATACTGGAACAGCAGCAACCGGAGCAGGGGCTCCTATAAGTATGAGAATTTCTGGGAAAAATCTAGACATACAAAAGAAATGTCTTCCAAATCTACTGAGAACACACACCAGAAGGCTTGCTATGACAGTTTCGAAAACCAGAAACCCAAACAAAGGATCGATTTAATGACAGGTCAAAAAAACAAAGTGACATTAAGCAAGTATATATGAAGGCTCTTAACTTTAGGTACAAACATCAACTGTCCAAAGAGAAGATGGAGTCCAGGTTTTAAAGGTTTATTTTTTAAAAGTCAAGTTTGATATGAGTCAATAAAATAACAGCTACTAAAAAAGACAGACACTGTCTTGTGTACCATATTTACCTTCTGTCATATGACCAAAAAGAAGGGAGGCAAATCCCACTATATTCAGTCTGATCACAACACATCTGGAATATTAGATTCAATTCTGATCTCAAGTTTTGAGAAGAACACCAACAAACTTTAACTTACCCCTACCAAAATAAAAATAGAGCATGAGCAGAATGAAGGAGCTGGAAACCATGCCATGAAATGGAATTGTTAAAGCAACTAAGAATATTTAGAAGAAAAAAACAAATGAGGGTCATAATGACAATGTTTAAATATCTGTACAGATACCAAATAAAAAAGAGAAGGCTGGTTCTACACAACACCTGAGTAGATGGTTTTGAGTAATATGATATCTGTCATTGGGGTTATCTCTTCATCTAGTATTTACTTCCCATAAATATATATTCATAGATAACATATTGCTGGGGAAAATAATAATAGATCTAACTTACTAAACCTGTATTAGTCTCCTTTAAACAAGTTAAAAGTGGAACAAAAGGAGCTTCAAGGTGAAACTCAGAAGCTATGGAGAAGTGTAATGAATCATTTAACAGGTACTACACTGCAAGTAAGTGCAAGCAGGTTTAAAGTTTCTTATGGTTTTTTATGGTTCCTGTAGGTCTTCACATTCCTAAATCTAAGCTAAGACAAAAGTATTAATATACTGACAAAGATAAACTGAGTCTCAATGAATAGTTTCTATATATTTACCTAAAAATGTTGGGAGAGTATTTAATCCTCTGTATTTGCTTATACCACCAGAAATCGGATACAAAGGTTTATATAATACATTTATTTTTCTCCCAGGCATAACGCATATAATTAAGGTAGATTTAAAAGAACTATTTTGGAGAGCAATAATTTATCATAGGCAAAAAGAATACACATTTTCCTTACTATGCTACTGTAAGATTAAAGTAGAACAACACAAATGCTCACCCTGTTAAAAACTGTGTGCCAGCGTAGTAAGTATAGGTACATAAGAGTGTGATTAAGTGTAAATATATGTAAATAAACAGAAACTAAATTAAACAAAAGCACAACAAGGCTTTTTCCATTTCTTCAGTTCTATCACTAAATTATTACTGGTTCAATGCTTTTAACTTCTTTTCCTAAAAGATATTTTCTACTTCTGGGTCAGATTATCTCTGTAAGTGAGGACACAGTATTACCTGATAAAATCCTTTATTCCCTATTGCCTCTCTCACTTGTCCAAGTTTCTAAAAGAAGAAATTAAATTACTACTAGGATTGAATCATTCTCATAGTTAAAAATACAAAGCTACTTAACTAAATTCTCATGTATCTGCTTTTTTTTTTTTTTATTCCACAGATCTGTGGAGGAAAGGATAAAAAGAACAGCAACACACACCATCAGAGAAATAAGTGAGCTCAGAACCACAATTAAAATATCCTATTCATCATATTAAGGTCTTCTCACTAAGGACTAGAAATACAAAATCTGCACTAAAACTTAGCACCTCCTAGCTATGTGATTCTTCAACTTTTAATAAGTTAACTGTAGTAAGGTAATAAGCATTTTTAAAATTGGAGTGAAAAATGGACACATCCAATAACACACTTCCCCCTTTCTACTATGATTGCCTAATTATCTGTGCTAACAAATGTTATCCAAAAATAACTCACTTTTGGTCTAAAAAGCACTTGTGACTTTCTCCTGCACTTGCTACAGAGAAATTATTTTTCTTTTTTTTTTTTTTTGAGTTGGAGTCTCACTCTGTCACCCAGACTGGAGTGCAGTGGCCACTCCCGGCCACTGCAGCCTCAACCTACTGGGGCTCCGGTGATCCTTCCACCTCAGCCTTCCAAGTACCTGGAACTACAGGCGTGTGCTACCATGCCAGGCTGATTTTTTGATTTATTGTAGAGATGAGGTCTCGCTGCCCAGGCGGGTCTCGAACCTGCGGGTTCAGGCAATCTACTCACCTCAGCCTCCCAAAGGCGCGGGATACGGGCTGAGCCAATTATTTTTCTAATAACGACATTTAAAAGTAATCTCGGGGGCATTAAACAATTAATGAAAAGAATCAGACGGCACTGCCACAAGTGGCGAGAGGGGAGCTGGAAGACTTAAGTTTGACATTTTCATCAAAGTAACTTTAGATCTACTCTGCTTTTTAAAAACTGAGACACATCAAGAGGATATGCCATGTTGCTTTGCTTCAAAGGTGTGCATTCCCTAGATGGAGCAGATTGAACCAACTTAGGATGGAAATTAAGTTCATATTTCCTGAGCCAAAGGTGATTTACTGTGGGGGGAGAGAATCTCAAAGCACGTCAGATGCTGGAAAAGGACTCTAAGAGGATGGCGCTTGCACAAACACCCCACCAAGGGCAGGCGGGGCTCAGCAAGGTTCTCAGCACTGGGGTGCAATCTTTAACAAGGTATTTGACATTCTATGCTTAGGTTACCTCAGCTGCAAAATGGAAATCATAGCAGTGTTAAAAATTCAATAATGCACATGAAAAGCCCCTGATACGTACATGTAAACTCGAATAACTGTTGTCATTAGTAGGTAATTAACACAACTAATCAAGACCTGTGAAGACCACTAATATCACTCTTCTTTTTTCTTTCTAAATAAACAGTAAGATCTAAATGAATTCAAAGCTAAAAAAGCAACTCAGGTTCTTCATACTTGGTTCTTTTAGTACTGTGTAACGACTGTAGTCGGGTAGAAAGAATAAAGAGCTAAAAGCAGAAGATCTTGTTTTCAACCTCATCTTTAATACCACTTGTCACACAGTTGTTTCATACAGTTGCTGCTTTGGAACTCAATTTTAGGCCTGACACAGCTGTCTGAAACCTAGTCATATCCCATCACCTTCCGCCTGGTTAAAACTTTCCCCTCCCCATGGGGTTGTTTGCAATATAGCCCACTTGTTCCTCATCTCACTGATTCAAAACCCAACACACCCACAACTGCTGACCAGGAGAAAATCCAACGGTTTTCACCAGAGCCATGTAAAACCAGTCATCTAAATAAGTTTCCCCATTCGCATGTTTTCCTTAAACTAGTCAATCCACAGCCCTGCTGGAAAGCCAAAGGGATAACAACCCCGGACCTTAATGATGGTACTCCCCCTTCACCCATCCCCACAGCCTGCTGTGTGAGCACCCTGCTGTCTCCAGACTTCCCTTTGGCCCTCACAGATACCTCTGTTGTTTTCTCTGTATCTCACCTGACCAACACACCTGAACCTACCTCTCCTCCTAGTCAGGGATCTCCTGAGAGTAACTATCTTCGTAAAAATAAGCTGAATGCAGGTCAGACAAGAGTCACAAGGGTGTCTGCCATAAGCAAGTTTCCTGGGAAAGAGACACCCGGCCAAGGGACAGCCAAGGGTCAGACATTTAGGCATTAGGCCGACTGCTTGGACAACGAGGTATCCCGTGAAAGGTACACTGTCAACAATCACGACCTCCTTACCTGGAGCCCAGTCAGGGTTGGACTAGAGTTTATAGCCATCCTCCAGAGAGAGACCTTAAGGTCACATTAGAAAGAAATCATAACACTACTTAACAGGTGAGTTTGTGCAAATCATTCATTTCTATGTTTGTCCATTTCTTAATATATGAAATGGAAGATATACTATCTGTTCATTCCAAGATTAATGTACAGTGGTAATTGGAGTCAAGTAAGATGTGACATAATTTAACAGTCTTTATATACAGAATGGGCTAATATTAACAAGGGGTACAACAGTTTAATTATAATTCAAGTTTTTTCAGGTAGACATCATTCATCAAAGCATGATAAGAAATTCCAGGCTTAAAAAAAATTAAATCTATTCTCTGCATTAATAATGAACAAATATTTATTATAATGAGTAATAAAAAAGCGAAGTCATAAGAATTCTATTATTATACTAAAATATTATTCTACCAAGTTAAGAAAAGCAGGGAGTGAAAAAAATTTTTTTAACAGATACTTGATAAAAATAACTACATAATTATCTTAACTGTCATGAATTTTTACAAATGCTACAAGAGACTTAGTCATTAAAATGATAAAATTCAACTTACTTGTATCTGACAGTTTGTACAGTTTCGGCTGAAACATTGTTAACAATGCACTTAGCTGCACATTCCAATCCTTGCCAGACAGTTGAAAATCCTGCAAATATATTTATAAAAGTCAGTCAGTCTAGTCCAAAGCAAACAGGCCTTCCTAGTTAAAATTCTGGGCCTTTTCGTTACCTTGAACGCTACTTGCTGCTACAACCATAGCACCATCCAGGGTAGATTTCCCGTCTTTGTCTTTTTTAAGAGATTCTGGAACAAGTTTGCTTCCATGCTTCTTGACGTGTGGAGCTAGTTCTTTTCCAACACAATTTGCCACAGTGCAAACTCCATCAACTAATATAAGGATTAAAAAAAAAAAGAAAAATTAGAAAAATGTATTCTTCCCTTGATTTTACCACTTTTGTTGCAAAATTCTTAAATTAGCATCTAAAACTGTTTCACTGTATGATGTTACCATTTCTACTTAAGGATGACAAGCTATACTTTTTTTTTTTTTAAAGAGATGAGGTCTCACTATGTTGTGCTCAGGCTGGCCTTGACTTGATCTCCTGGGCTGAAGAGTTTAGTGCACACCCCAGCCCCCAGCAGCTGGGATTACAGGCATGCAGCATAGACTGGCTATTTTTTAAACAAAGTTTTTTTTTTTTTTAAAGATGATGAGGTCTCACTATGTTGTGCTCAGGCTGGCCTTGACTTGATCTCCTGGGCTGAAGAGTTTAGTGCACCCCCCAGCCCCCAGCAGCTGGGATGACAGGCATGCAGCATAGACTGGCTATTTTTTAAACAAAGTTTTTTTTTTTTTTTAAAGAGATGAGGTCTCACTATGTTGTGCTCAGGCTGGCCTTGACTTGATCTCCTGGGCTGAAGAGTTTAGTGCACCCCCCAGCCTCCAGCAGCTGGGATGACAGGCATGCAGCATAGACTGGCTATTTCTTAAACAAAGGCTATTGTTTGCTTTAAAGGTGTGTTTTGCAGAGCCTACTTATGTTAATAGCCTTGCCTCTTAGAGATACAAGTTCTTCTTGGCACTTCTGCTTGAGAAAACCATCTACTTTTTCTATCTAACTGTTGCAACACAAGTCACAGTAGTAGGTATACCTTCAGTGTTTTCCAGTTAAGTGTATTAGTACATATTTCTTTTTCTCGCAGCAAATATTTCAGTGAGATAATAGTGTGTTTAATTTTATAAAAATAAGCAACCCAAAATCTGATTCAAAAGAATACGAAATACCAAAAGATCATCTTACTACATGTAATGGTTATCCATTTAGGACCTACTGCCCATCTTAACACACCAAGCTTCAGTACTGTGATTCTGAAAGAAGGCTGGCACCAGAATAATGATTAAAAAAAAAAGCCAGCTTTTCTGAAACAATACATCCCTCTCTCTTGATCCTCAACTATTATGCAGAAATTGCTGTCCTTAAAAGAATGTGTCCTATCCCTCAGATGGATACAAGGATAGTACACTCAGTTGTGTTGTATAACATTGTAGCCATTTTGGACATTTTGTTGAGTATATAATGGTGATCCCATAAAACCATAATGAAGCTGAGAAATTTCTACCACCTAGGGATACCCAGCCATTGTAAAATCACAGCACAGTTATTTTTAAAATGAATTTAGTGTGGCCTGCATGAACAGTGTTCATAGCGCCTACGGCAGGGAACAGGAGTCCCAGGCCTTCACATTCACTCACCCCTCACTCTTCACTCACCCAGAGCAGCCGCTCGTCCTGCAAGTGACATTCACAGGAAGTGTTCCTTACAGGTATACTGTTTTTTATCTTGTATACCGTCCTTCTACTATGCCTTTTCTATCTTTAGATATGTCTAGATACACAAGTACTTACTGTGCTACAAGTGCCTACAGTATTCAGCACAGTGACATGCTGTCTAGGTTTGTAGCCTAGGAGCAATAGGTTCGTACAATGCAATTGCCGAATGACACATTCATCAACACTTATCCCCCTCAATAAAGGACACATGAGTGGGCATTCAGAACTCCTTTTCAAAGGCACACACTCTCCTCTCCAACACACTGAAACACTTTAGCCAGAGTTACTCGAACTTTAATAACCAAATATAGGAATCTTACAAAGATGCAGATTCAGAATCAGCAGGTGTGTCTGGTGCCTAACATTCTGCAATTTCACGGCTCCCAGACAGGCTGATGTTGCTGGTCTTTACATTAAGCTTGGATTAAGAGATTTTTTTTTTTTTAAGTTTCATTTTCATTTTTTTGAGTTAGAGTCTCACTCTGTCGCCCAGGCTGGGCTCTGTCGACCTGCAGGGCTTTGGCGATCCTTCCACCTCAGCCTTCAAAGTAGCTGGAACTACAGGCATGCGCTACCATGCCCGGCTAATTTTTAATTTTTATTGTAGAGATGAGGTTCCACCAAGTTGCCCAGGCTGGTCTTGAACCCACGGGCTCAGGCAATCCACTCGCCTCGGCCACCCAAGGTGCTGGGATGACAGGCTGAGCCACCGAGCCCGGCCAAGAGATTATTTTTAAGTTAACTTTAAAGAAGCAAAGTCATCTAAGATTCCTTTACCCAGGAACTGACTGACTTTGGCCGCTCCTCCTGTAGCCTGCTTCGCTATGTAAAGTCCCTTGGTGACAGCTGGACTAACTTCCACGGGTTTTTCTTCTGGTTGGATCCGTTCTCGAAGTTTAGAAGCACCTTTCTGGATTGCTTTGCCAGTGAATTCAGCACCTTTGACTAAACCCCAACTCACCCAGGAAGCACCTTTTTAAAAGAAAATTTAAATTACACAATATTAGTACCAATTAAACCTTAAACATTTTAATTAGTATTATCAATAAGAAAAAAAGGAGTTTGATATTCGGATCCCAAACATGCCAGGTCATAAACTTCCAAGCTAACTTTATACCTACAGTTTCCTACCTAGAATACATACCTTTTCTAACTAAACTTATCTTTCAATACTAAGGTCAAACATCACTCAGTGACAGAGCTCTGTACTACTCTATGTTGTCACCATAGCTTGTAGGTATCTCTATATGTTACTTACCGCAGTATACTAATGTTAGGTATTCATTTTGAATTTTGGAGCCATTAAGGTAACAGTTGGCTAAAGGACCCAGATATTCCTGTTCTTTTTGCCTTAGTCCAGGTATCACTTTTCCCCATGAAATCCTGAGGGAGAAAGATAGAAACAACAAAAAATGGAAACCAGACAACCTATACCTCAAACACCAGACAGAATTCTTGCTGGCTTACAGCTAAAGGCATTAGTCCTGTTCCTTCCTCAGTCCTACACCCAAACCAGGAGATCCAGCACCTTTTCGTTTGCTACATAAACGTGAATGACAAAAACATGAGGATACTCAAATAATGCATAAAAAAGACAAAGTCTAAAAGAGAAGAGAAGAGAGGCCCAGACAACGTAGCCACTTCTCAGGTCAGTGAGCCCTAACCCTCTGCTTTGCTCAGGCTTCTTGCAGCATAAATGTCAGAAGTGAGTGCCAGAGGCACAGCAGGAAGGAAGGCCTTCTCTAGGGAGGACAGAAGGTCCTCAGTCAGTGGGCAGGTGGGGAAGGAGGAGTGGGAAAGCAATGGGAAAAGCAAGAAGAAATACACGAGAACAGTGTCCCCTGAGATGGAGAGGACAGTGTTATCCTCTTCCATAAAGAGCTTGAAATTCAAAATATTTCCTTTTTGGCTGACCCTGAAACAATGAACTTGTAAAGTTGAACACACAAAATACTTAAGCATGTTCTCTCAGGGTCTGTGGCATGGCTTTTCATAATTACTCCAGACCATAAGTAAGCATCGAGCAAGCATGTGAAAATTGTGCCAGTTTATTTAAAAACTAACAATGAAAAGTGGCAAGTAATAACTGATGAGAAAATTTTGTTTATCTTCCTGTTTCAGTCAACACCTCCACCTCCAGTTCCAATCCTACCCCCACTGTCCTACCCAACAATCAACATTTGGCAAGCAGGGTCCCAGGCAAACAGACTCCCACAACAAAGACTGGACGATGTCCATTTAAAAAAATTGTTTTATTTTCATGGCCACAAAGATGGAAATAATAGATATTAGGGACACCAATAAGGGGAGGAGGGAGGGGGATTAGGGTTCAGAAACTACCTACAGAATGAGCCACCTGAGACCCAATCCTCATCACTGCACAAGATATCCATGCAACAAATATGCACGTGTACCCTCTGAATCAAAAAAAAAAAAAAGAGAGAGAGAAATAGTGGAAAAAAATTAAATAAGGCCAAGTACAGTGGCCTTATTTAATCCTGAAATCTCAGCACTTTGGGAGGCCAAGGCAGGAGGACTGCTTGAAGCCAGGAGTTTGAGACCGGTCTGGGCAACATAGCAAGATCTTGTCTCAAAAAAATAAAATAAATTGTGTGTTTTTAGACTAACTTATAGGTTTAAAAGATTTAGGAAGTAAGAAACAAAGTGAACATGAAGAAGGAAGACTGAGAAATCACAAAATAAATGACAATGAAATCAAAGAGACTATAATCCTAAAATGAAACTCTATAAGAAATAAAAGGGAGTCCCATGATGACTGAGAAAAATACAGAAATGATAAATGACAAGTCATAGGACTAATAAGGAGAAATACTACCTGTAGACAAGATAGCACCATGGAAGTACACAGCAGAGGTAAATATATTAAGACTGCAGGTACCAAAGAGAAGGAAATGCAGTATTTCACTGGTAGCCTTTAGACCTTTTAAATGACATGAGCAGTGCCAGACATGAGCAGGGCATTTGAACGTCCCTTGTCAACCCTCTAATACCATGGTGTAATGTACTTCATTAAAAATGTATGATAGTTGCCTTCTGGGCCTTTTAAGCCAATATTCTATACAGGTGAATTTTAAGTACAGTTATTTCTCTTTTCTTCACCTTTACATTAATAAAAACCTCAGCTTTACTGATCTTTACTCATCATCTGACAGTGGACGGCACCAATTATGAGCTAAGATGAATGAGCTCCATTTAGATCCCTGGTTATTCATCTTGTACATAGCCTGCATGAGTCAGGTAGAAAGTCTCTTGACAGACCAGATAATTTTCCCTAGAGCAAATCTGAGATATTTTCTTTTTTCTTGTATCGTTAAGTATTTGATGAATAATTGTTATTCATTACACCGATATAAAAACACATAAAGAGACATATACTCTGATAGGCAGTTAAACAGTTTTACTGTCACCAACTATGAGGGATATTACTAGAACTCTAGCCCTGAGGCTACAGGATAAAAAGGAAAACAGCGAGTGGCATGAAGATACTGAGGTCTCAAGTAATAAAGAAGGCCTTTGAGTGTTACCAAGGTGCGCTTTTGTCCACTGTAAACTTATACATTGCTGGGAGTTCTTTTGAACTCTAAATTTAGAGAGACCTCTTCCCAGGATTAACTGGCTTTGAGGATGCTCTGCCTCTTCCAGTAAACCAGTGTACGGAATCTGTGGCACACAGGAGACCTGAGACTTAGTGGAAGGTGGCAACTTCAGAAGATGACCACAAACAGCATCTCCTGCTCTACATGTACTTCTTTCAACATGACCTTGAACTTCTTCCCACTGAGAAGTGAAGTCAATGTCATATCCCTTGAGTTTGGGTAGGCTTGTTCCTTGCTAAGAAAGGAACAAGCCTACCCTGTACTTGGCCTGTTTGCTGGGCGATTCACTCTTGAAGCCCCGAATCATCATGTAGTAGCCAGCCAGGCCTAACACCCCCATGATGTGAGGAAGTCCAGCTGTGAAAGGCCTTGTACAGTCACTCTATCTGGCAGGCTCAGGTTCTGGACTCTCCCAATACAGACACCAAAGGAGTAAGTAAAGAAGCCTTTCGCTGATTCCAGCCCCCACCTGTCAAGTCACTAGCCAGCCTCTGAGTCTTCCTGGCTGAAGCCCTTAGATATGAAGCAGACAGAAGCCACTCCTGCTATGTGTGATCTTTCCGATACCTGGCCCACAGAATGGCTAAGCAGAACAAGTGTTTGTGTGTTATGCCTTTAAGTTTGGGGTGGCTTGCTACATAACAATAGTAAATGAAAAAAACTTTTAGCAGTATAAACTCAAAGATTTGGGAAAGTGACCTTTGAATCGATTTACATACAAATGTGTGTGTGACAGGCAAATTTTCTGAATATTGACCTAATAATGCTTAGCAGCCAGTAAAGTTAGGGGGTAGGGTAGTAAGAATGAAAAGATTTTTCTTGGCAATTTCTTAGTAAGTGTCTTTCAAGAGTTCAGTCTAACTACAATTACATTGAAACTCTGGCGTTATTTTTTCTTCTTGTCTCAAGCACAGTTCTTTGCTACTTTATTAGCTCCTAGCTAACTGACTATGTTAACATGTTGGCTTTTTATGTTGAAGATTTCCTCTGCTTTTGATACTGTTATTATTTTAATGAGTTTTTAGTAGAGCAGAAACCCAAATTGTTAGGTTGTTAAAATGATAGTCAAGACGCATTTAATAGGGTCATTAACTTTACTTACTAAATGGTAACTGGCAATATTTTTTTAAAAAACAACAACAAAAAGGTATAAGTCAGAGAATCACTAGAGTTGAAAAGCTAGGTAAATGTTAACCAATCAAACCAGGAGGACATATGCCATTAATGACCATTCTGGCTTCAGAACAGTTGATCTGAAGCCCTTTTTTAACCATAACTAAACAGCAGGGCCTACTTCCCAAATGGCCTGGTTGTAACCCTCAGGTCTTCTCACAATTGTGCTGCTATGTGGTTAGGGACTGCTGCTTTGCTTCCAAAGAGAGATGAGCAGCTCATTTTTTTTGGCAGGCATCTTAGTCCATTCATGCTGCTATAACAAAATATCATAAACTGATGGCTCATAAACAACAGAAATTTATTTCTTACAATTCTGGAGGTTGAGAAGTCCAAGATAAAAACTGCCAGCGAGTTGGTGTCTTCTGGGGCCCCCTTCCTGGTTCACAGAATGGTCCCCTCTTGCTGTCTCCTCATGCAGAGAAAGGGGCAAGGCAGCTCTCTGGGGCCTCTCTTATAAGGGACTAATCCCATTCATGAGGGTTCCTCCCTCATGACCTAATCACCACCCAATAACTCCCAATACCATTACCTCAGGGTTAGGCTTTCAGTGTAGGTTTGAAGAGACACAAACGTTTCAGACCACAACTGAGAAGATAATGGGGTAAGGGGTTAAAAGGGAATTTTGAAGGGGAGCAGAAAGTAACTAATTCTTATGTTCAGAGCTATTCTGAGAGTCTGGAATTCCTGGAGCTTTTCACTACCCAATTCCCCAAGAATAACACAGAGAATAATAGGTCAGAAAGAATTTTATCTATATGATAATATGTGATATTTTAAGAGACTAGCTCCTTCTACTTTTGAGTATTTCTAAATTGATTATTTAAAACCAAACTATAAAGATGCCCTTACAAACAATAAAAGGTAAGTTCTCCACCCCAAGATAAACATGTATCATGTTACATACATATTTATTAACTCTATGAATATTCACAGCTCTTCCTGTGACCCGTTAAATATGTATATTTAGCCAACCTGTCATCATATTCCCACAGCTGATGGTGAGGAACAAACTTAAGGACTTTCTTATTAATACAGGGGCCACACATTTTTAGTTAATGTCCATCTAACCCCTGAAATGGTGGCTATAGGAACGCCACAGAAAGCTATGACTTGCCCCTTCCTACAACCTTTACATTAAAGACCATGATCACTGGAAAAAAGCTAAAAAGATGAACCATACCCTAAAAAGAAACACTGCCAAATATGTTAAGATTCTAAAAACGTATCCTAACTTCTGTTCATGAGTTTGCTTCTAACAGGACCACATGTCCCACTGACCTGGCCCGACATTCTTTTCAATTGGGAGACTGAATTCTCCTAAAAAACCTTAGAAGAGAGGACCTGAAATTGCTGCTTAAGAAAAACCATGCATATAAGCAGAAGACCCAGCCAAACATATGCTGCTCCTTTTAACACCTGCCACACTGTTATCCCTTCACTGAAGAAACCTCACAAATCAAGAAAGTGGCCCTGAAGTATCACATGGCTCTCAGGGTTCTGACTGCTGCCTAAGGTGGCACCTGTGCATTGATTAAGACTGGATGTGCATTGACTAAGACTGGAATATCCACATGTGGATACTCCCATAATGCAACTTGTGCTATGCAACATTATATACATTTTGACTATAAAAACCCTGTTTCAAGACCTCTTCATGACATGGTTGGATTGACTTTATAATACACGGAAAACTTCATATACAGTATAACTGCTATTCTACTTACTGTCCCTTTCTGTTGCTACGGATTCTATTGCTGTTGTACATTCCGTAGGGGTATACAAGATTGGCTATCTAGAAAGTTCCTGGGTTCTTGCACCATAATGCACCAATAAATTCCTTCCACAAGTTCAGGCACTCAGGAATATTTCCAACTCCAAGTGGATCAGGTCAATTCTAATGCCCCTTAACAATACCCCTTTTCAGTAGACAGTAGTCAGATCAAATATGTTGCCTATTTGCCACAGAAATGGAATGGAACTTGACAGTGGGGAGTTGTAACCAAAAATTTCCATTTCAGTTTTGAGAAACGGTCTTTTTTTCCTCAGCCTACACTTTAAAGATCCTTTCTTTTACTCCACTTACCCTCACACAATGACCCCATGATTGAGCACATACCCATGAATCTAATCAAGTATTTGAAAAATTCTAGAGTCTGTTCCAAAAGGTGACCTTGGAATAAGAGAGCATGGAGACCCCACGGCAGAATTCTCCACTGTTCAGAAGTTACTTTAAGGTGATTAATTTACAACCTGGCCACAACTGGGACAGTACCAGCCAGCTCTCCAGGTGGACAACAATTAGTAATAACCATCAGAGCAAGACCAGCTCCCTGTGCTGCTCTCAGATACTCATTCCATTCTTTTCCTTTAAAATCCCAGCCTCGGTCTAAAATGTTGAAATGGTCTTTTGAGGCATAAGCCTGGTCACTTCCCCACCAGTCAGCTTTTGAAATAGAATCGCCTTCCATTCACTACATCTCATGCTTGTTTATTTCAGTTTCCAAGCAATGAGCAGCTAAGCTTGGCATTAGTAAAAATACCTTTATTGGATTCCAAAGGCTTAAAGTTACAGGGGGAAACATTATCAGTACTATACCTGACAAAATGTTGTGAGCCACTTTCTCACTCCATTCGGGTATTTCTTTTGCTTTTTCTTCTGAAACTGGCTTACAGGGTACAAAGTGACTCAGGTTAACTTCTTCACTTGAAGTATCCTTAGCCTAAACAGTAAAAACATTTCAAATCATGAAAGAGTTTATAAGTACTAAGAGAGGGAAAATTGTAAGCATCATATAATATTAAGCCAACAAATATTAGATACAATTAATTTTAAAATATCTCCAGTCAACCTGGTTACTGGTATGGTATATAAGGCACAATACCAGAACTCCTATTAAGTTGAAAACTACTCCGGTCTATATAAGCCCTCATTGGTAAGATTTACATACCAACTTAAGTCCAACTGAGCATTTATCAAGTCATATTTTGTTGTTTTATTTTTATTTTTTGAGAAAGCAGGATTTATTGAGAAGACAAAAAAGCTCCCACAGAAGGAAGGAACCTGAAGGGGTTGCCCCATCAAGTCATATTTAAATAGTTTTTTTTGATTAATTAGACTTTGAGAGCCTTCATACAGCTATCACCTAGGGATTAGAATGCACATGGTACTCAGTAAGTTTAAAGGATTTTTGTTAATGACTCAATTGGTAAGGAAAGGTGTATCCAAATAAATTGGTTTTGCCAGAGATCAAATAAACATCTAATTTGAATCAAGTAAGAATATATAAACACAGAGCAATTGGAAGTGGAGAACACTGAAATACATGCTAATATATCAGCTGCTATGAGACCTAGGGCTCAACACCCAAACTCTTGAAGCTAAATGAATTAGAACTCAGGAGTAGGCCAACTCATCCTCATTAAATTGTAAAGTAACTTGCAAATCAAAGTGCCCAACAGTTAATACAGAAGAACTTCACTTAAAATATAAAAGCAACACTAAACAAAACCTACAAGGGGAGAAAAGCCACCAGTAAGTACAATCTAAAGACAAACTGGGCAAAATATTTACAATTTTTATCTTTGACAATGGGCCAATGTCCCTATTATATAAACAGCTCCCAGAAACTGATAAGAAAAAGACTAACAGCCCAATAGTGAAAACAGAAAATGGAGGGACATGAATAGATAATATATGGAAAACAACATTCAAAAGACCCTGGAGCATAGATGCTCAACATCGCTCAAAATGAAATCAATGCAAATTAAGATACTATATTTTCATATGCCATTTCTAACCTATTCGATTGCCAAATACATAGACTGACCACCCACTCTGCTGACCAGGTTACAGGGAAATAGGTACTCTCATACAATGCTAGTGGGAGTGCTGAATAGAATAATCCTTAGGGAGGGCAGTTTAGCAAAATCTGTCAAAATAACAGATGTATTTATCTTTTGGCTCAGTAATTATTCTTTTAGAAATTTATCTGATTACCTACACACGTATGAATCAATGGATCTATAAAGTTATTCACTGATGCATTATTTGTGATAGCAAACAATTGCAATCATGCCAAGTATTCCTCAATAAGATAATGATTAAAGAAACTATGGGCTGGGCGTGGTGGCTCATGCCTGTAAATCCCAGTGCTTTGGGAGGCGGAGGCAGGAGAATTGTCTGAGCCCAGGGAGGGTTCAAGACTAGCCTAGGCAACTTAGGGAGACCTCATCTCTACAATAAATCAAAGATTAGCCAGGCATGGTGGTGCAAGCCTTTACTTTCAGCTAATTGGAAGGCTAAGGCGGAGGGATTGCCTGACTCCAGCAGGTCACAGCTGTGGTAGCATGATTTTGTCAGTGCACTCAAGAAGGAAGGGAAGAAGGGAAGGGAGGAAGGGAGGAAAGAAGGTATATTTCCAGTATGAAACATCAGAGATAGCAGCAAAAAACACTGAGGAAGTCCTCCATTTACTGATATAAAAAGATTCTCCTGACTGGTCACGGTGGCTCACGCCTGTAATCCCAGCACTTTGGGCAGTGGAGGCAAGAGGATTGCCCAAGCCCAGAGATTCAAGACCAGCCTGGACAACTTGGGAAGACCTCGTCTGTACAGTAAATAAAAAAATTAGCCAGGTGTGATGGTGAGTGCCTATAGTTTCAGTTGCTTAGAAAGTCAAGGCTGCAGTAGCTGTGAGGGTGCCACTGTACTCCAGCCTGGGCAACAGTGAGACTCTGGCTCAAAAAAAAAAAAAAAAAAAAGATTTCCCCAATTTATTTATTTATTTATTGAGTCAAGGTCTCACTTTGTCGCCCAGCCTAGAGTGCAGTGACACAATCATAGCTCAACCTCCTGGGCTCAAGCAGTCCTCCCACCTCAGCCTTTCAAGTAACTGGGACTACAGGTACATGCCACCATGCCCAGCTCATTTTCTAATTTTTTTTTAGATACGAAGTCTTGTTACGTTGCCCAGGCTGGTCTCGAATTTCTGGGCTCAAGCAATCCTCCAGACTCAGCCTCCCAAAGTACTGGGATTACATGTGTTAGCCACCAGTCCTGGCCAAATTGATTATCAAATGAAAAAAAAAAAAACACAAGACATCCTGTATAGCATATTATCTTTTGAATAAGAAAGGGAGAAAGATAATAATTTAAATTTGTTTTCGTCCACCCCCAAGAAACTCAGGAAAGAGACACAAGATCTTAATAAGAGTGGTTACCCACAGTGGCAGGGGAATGATATAGACAGGGACAAAGCTGGAAGTAAAGCTTTTCACTGCATATACCTTTTAATATCAATTGATTTTTTAACCAGAGAATTAAATTAAATTAAAAAAAATAAAGTTCTAAATGACAAGGAAGAGTTTTCAAATAAATTGTTAAGAAAAAAGAAGCCAGCCAGGCTCAGTGGCTCAGCCTGTAATACCGCGCCTTTGGGAGGCTGAGGTGAGTGGACTGCCTGAACCCACGGGTTTGAGACCCGCCTGGGCAGAGAGACCTCATCTCTACAATAAATAAAAAAAAAAATCAGCCGGGCATGGTAGCGCATGCCTGTAATTCTGGCTACTCGGAAGGCTGAGGCGGAAGGATCGCTGGAGCCCAGCAGGCGAGACTGCGGTGGCCGGAAGCAGCCACTGCACTCCAGTCTGGGTGACCGAGTGAGACTCCAACTCAAAAAAAAAAAAAAGCCAAGTAGGCCAGGTGTGGTGGCTCATGTCTCGGATCCCAGCACTTCCTTGGGAGGCCAAGGAAAGAGGATTGCTTGAGCCTAGGAATTCGAGGCCAGAATGGGCAATATAGTGAGACCTTGTCTCTACAATAGATTTTTTTAAATAAATAAAAAAAATATAAAATAAACAAGGTACAAAATAGTATGTTCTACATGCCACCATTTATGTGTGTGGGTATATACGTCTGACCATGCATAGAATGCGTCTGGAAGGACAATAAGAAGCTAATAACTGTGTCTGGAGAGCAAAGCTGGGTAGCTAGCAGACAGAAACGGGGGGGCAGACCTACTTTTCACCTTATATTCTTCTGTGCCCTTTGAATTTGGCTTCGTGATCAACTTTTTAAAAATCTTTAACAGTAAAATATGCTTCCTGGGACCATTTTGGACTCCCGGTGTCCTCATAAAGCTGGTCTACGAGGGCCCACATATACCACACTGATACTTTGCAAGTAAATGTAGACTATTCACATGATATTCATTCACACCAAAGATAATCACTGAGAGTTTTCCATGTGGAAATCGGCAATGAGGACACTAAACTGTCTGTAACATGCTCAGACAATGCTGTTTTCTCATTTACTTGCTTATATTACTACTTCTGCCTAGAATCTCCTTCTATTTGCTATTTGTATGGCCAAGTCTTCTTTACCCCTCAAAACCCATCTTAGCTCTAATGTCCTTTGGGACTACTTCCCACACCAGGCATTTAACCACACTTATCTATTAGGATAGGCTGTATCTTCTATTTAATGGTCACATAAGATAGAAATGATCTTTGCTAATCTGTCCTTTCCACTAGATAGTAAATCACTTGATACAAGAAATTTAAACTTTTCCCACTACATATGCTAGCACTCAATATTTACTGAACTCCAGCCCAAATTTACCATTTAGAGCATACTACATACTCAGAGGATAAGAAATAAAAGAGGAAACCACAAACTGTATTTGTAAAAACCAAACCTCTGTTTTGTTGCCCACTCATTAAAAACAAAACAAGGAACTGAATAAAAATGGCAGCGTGCAAGAAAAGAGAGTACCGTGTCCAGCCCCCAGCAATCGGTTCTAGAATACAGGAAAGTGGAGAACAGCACAAAACCGACAAGAAGGCATGCGCACTGTTAATGTAAGTATAAAAACTTCTTGAACGGTGGGGGAAAAGGCCTATCTTTCGAAACAGAATGCCTTTTAAAATAGTTTAAGTAACAAACACTTACAAGGGAAACACTTGAGCTGATTCTAGCTGTTTTTCCAGGGATCACTCCGTGACTCTGCTCTAGTCACTTTGCTTTGATATGTGGGAGTATGAACATATAAAGATTACACAACTGGTGAGATGTGTTGCTAGCAGAGAACACACACAATGCCTATTTCTTTACCTTTTTTCCACGTTTCCCTTTATGGCGCACATCCTTACTGCCTTGGTCCGATGTAGGAACCAACTGTCTCACATCAGTGCCAGAGGCATCCTTCAGTTGGTCAGAGGAGTGTCTAGTTCTTCCAGGAATTTGGAACTCATTTTCTTCTTCTGCCCTGTTCCAGTTGGTCTAGGGAGTGAAGAACCAAGCTTCGCTCAAATCAGAGTTTTTCTTAGATGACTTTCTTCAGCCACAACACACCATGCTAATGAGAGACTTGTTCAAACGTCAGTGTTTGACAGTCAATAAATAACTACTACTTTTGCTTTTCTTTTCTCTATACTTTAGTTTTGTCTCATCACCAAATCTCAAACTCTGAGTTCTCTGGTTCACAGCATATGGCCTAAAGTAAATTTCAAATGATAAAGTAGAAAAGATAACTGACAGCAGTTGTTGTCATAAGTGATCCTTAAATCGGATGCAGTTGAATTTGAATTTAACTAAATAACAAATACAGTTTAGGAAATATATACAAGACAAAAAAAGCACTGTTGAAAGGTTGGTTTTTTTACTTTCTGCACCTAAAGGTATCTTACCAGCACACACTTTGCTGAATGAGGGCTTAAGAGCAAAAACAAGTCAAAGGTACAGCTAGTTATAGTTAGCAACTAGTTTTTGTGTGCAGCTGAAGCTCTGGGACAATAGGGCAAACTAAAAATAGCATACAATCAAAAAATAAAATTGAACAGATAAATGAACATATAACCTAAAAGTCAATTTACTGTCTTTCCTCTTTAGTAATATAGGTCCAGTGAATGTCGGTGTGAGGGGAGAAACAGTTCCATAGAGGTCTGGGAGTATTTAAGAGTGTCAGTCACTTCATTCACTCAGTGAACACCAAAGCCAAGATGAACTCAGATCCATCTGACAGTGTGCCTGCCTCTGTAAACTCCTCCCTCTGAACACACACTGAGCCTGCACACTCTTGTATGGCGATCACGTGTTTTTTAACAGCGCTTAAACAACTGCCTTAAACAACTGCTGCTATGCTAAAGTGCTGATTTGCTGATCACCAGGTCATTCTCAAGTGCTTGGGAAGAGGAGCTCTTTCCTCTCCTTTTCCCTCCTTCCTTCCTTCCCTCCCCCCCACCCTTCTGACCTGCCTTCCTCTATCATCTCTCTCCGTCCTTCCTCTTTTTTCTCCTCAGGTCTCTCTCCTTCCTTCCTTTTTTTTTCCTTCCTTCTTTTCTCTCCCTCCCTTTCTTCCTTCCTTCCCTCTCTCTTTCTCTCGTTCTGACCTTTCTTTCTCTCTACCTCATCTTCTCTAACTTTGTGATTTCCTGTTCTCACACTGTTCCCATCCCACCATTTAACACAGCATCTGGTTGAATAATGGATTCTAAATATCTGCTGATTGATGGAGACAATAAAAGATTATACTATCATATTATCAACCTCATTCAACCTTGAAAAGCTGTTGTGAATGTTCGTAATCAAAAATGTGTTTCCCCTTTTGCCTAACAGTAGGATAGGCAAGAATACCTAAAGAAATCCTCTTCACAATACTCCGTTTAAACAGGTGAGCAGAGGAGACAGGCTAAATAAGGAAGGTTCACAGGATAATCCGATTTTAAAGAACATTTTATTTTCTCTTCATTTGGCCTTTACTTACCACAATAATAGATAAGTCTCTCAACCCAAACCTGTTTCTTCCTCCAAATGCCAATCACACCCCTAAATGTCCAGCATAACCCACATGCCAAAGCTAAAATTACTTTCACTTTACCATTCAGTCCCATTAGTTCACTTTTCCAACTGAGCAGTGAAACAGTGGTGAAAGCAACAGCTCACGTTCACAGAGCATCACTGCTTGCTAACACTGACATAAGTGCTCTAACGTATTAACTTTTAATATTCACCACAGCCCAATGAGCCCAATGTGTATTATCATGCTCATTTTACGACAAGGAAACTAAAGTATAGAGAAGATCAGTAACAGTTGAATTCAAGAGCTATTGAGTTAGAGTCTGAATTCAAACTCAAGCAATTTGACCCCAGAGCCCACAGTCTCAACCACTATTTACAGCAAGTTCCCAGCACATAGTTGTGACTACACAGCAAATAATATACTCCCAGTCTCCTAACTTGGATTACACTGGCGGCTATTACACCTTCCCTAAAAGCAGTAGGGCTTATGTTAAAGTAGATTTTCATCCTATGGATGATCATAAAAGTTACCTGGAGTCGCAGGTCAGACATTTGTCTTAATAGATCCTCAAAGAGTTCTCTATCATCTTCTGGTAACTCAGAGGACAGGACAACCCCCACAAAGCATCCTGCTGCTTGTAGCATTGTATCAGGAAACATGTAAGCTCCCACGGTACACTTCAAAACTGGAGATCGATCAGGAACTAGAGGATACAACCAGTCACAAACCTGAAAGGAAAAAGTATACATACATCAATTAATGAAACTAGATTTTCACCTAGGTTTTAATAGAACTCTTACACTAGAAAATAAACACTTCAAAATTTGAAATGTATTTTACAAGGCTTTATAGAACCGTCAACATCAATAAATCCTCAATGAAAACTAATCATCTACTAGTCTTATCTCTCTGCAATAGGAACTGTGCAAAAAATGGTATTGTACCACTAATTATATAGTCTTAACGAGCCCAATGGTAACCAATCACGGTTCTTGCTTTAAAAAGACAATGATCAAAGCAAATTAAAAGTTTCTTCATTATTCAAATTAGACATTCCCTTTGTGGTGATAAACAAACTCAGACTATTTCCAAGTACTACACATACATTTACTGATTTAATCCTCAGAGCAATCCTATGAAGTTGGTTGGCATTATTTTCATTCTATGTGCAAAAACCGAGGCACAGAAAGGTCACCTAAGTGGCTCAGGTTCGACAACTGAAAAGCGGAGGCAGGATTTGACATGCAGTCTGGACCAGAGGATTCAAACAACAGCTTTAATTGGAAACACAGCACTCAGGACGTAGAAGAATTTTGTTACCAAGCCCAAGAGACCCTGACATGTCAGAGCTGGAAGAGATTAAGTTATTACGGACTGACTACCTGTTGTAAAGCTAAAGCAAAATGACACAATGCTCTCCTGCAATGCCATTTGGGGAGGTCTCCTTGTCAGTACACTCAGACTTAAGCTCACATGCAGGCTATCCAAGTTCAGTAGATACTCAATTTAACTGAGACTCTCCAAATGTATTCATTTCTAATTAATAAATTCTTTAAGCAAAGAAAACTTAACTGTGCCCATAACCCAGAACACTATCTTACCCAGAAACACAGGAGGTCAATCTATTATCAAAACATTGTATGATGAACAAGAGTCAAAGAGCATGAGAGATTTCACACAGACCATAGATAATTCTGATACCCTGCCATCATCTCCAACAGGATAAAAATGTGCAAAGATTGAAATACTCAAGTATGATGCTTTCCCATTAAGTGCTTAATACACATTTCAAATATGTATCTTTTCTTTTCTGGATTTTCTTTTCTACTTGTCTCAAAAGCCACTCTCTATCTTTTATAAAAGTCAAACATCAGACAGGTTACAATAAAACTGATTACTGTGTTTTCCAAAGTACAATATATAAACCACCTGTAGTACATGAATTTACAACCTTTAAAATTTGAGTAGTTATATATTCTAATATGCATTAAGGATAAATATATCGTTTGCTTAATTTCACAGTTGTTATGATTTTTAGATGAAATTAACAAGTGAGACATTTTATTAAAATATTTAGAAAGTAATAGTATTAGTATGGATTTGACAAACTATTGTAAACATTATTCTAAAATGACTAAAGCGTGGGAAAGTTTTTAAAAAAAACTATCCATAATTTTTTTAAGATTAACTATATGCTGGTCACTGATTGAACTGGAATAATCCTAAATATGCTCAAAAAAGGAAATTTATGGACGGTTCTTAGGACAGGTTGTCACAGACTGGCGAGCTCATCCACCACAGGCTGATTTTTCCCAGTTTCCTTTTGGAGGGCAATCTCATGTTCAAGTTCTGTATAAACTGACTACAGATTTAATGAGTTTCAAACTATATTAAAACTCTGCCTACCTAAAATCAAAGAATCTTACTCTAATTTCCTAAATAGGCCAGTAATGACACTTTCCTTTCAACAATGCCCTCAAAACACCTCCTTCATGCATCCCTTGTAAGTCCCCAGCTGGTACTGGCCTGTGGCCTGTTAGGAACCAAAGCTGCACAGCAGGAGTTGAGCAGCCAGCAGCAAAACTTCATCTGTATTTACGGCCACTCCACATCGTTAGCATTACTGCCTGAACTTCGCCTCCTGTCACATCAGCAGCAGCATTAGATGCTCATAGGAGCATGAACCCTATTGTGAACTCCGCATGTGAGGGATCTGGGTTGCACGTTCCTGACGAGAATCTAATGCCTGATAAGCTGAGGTGGAGCTTGAGGCAGCGATGCTAGCAATGGGGAATGGCTGCAAATACAGATAACGTGAGCAGTGAGGTTTGACAGCACATCCCCCAACCCCCGGTCTATGGAAAAACAATCTTCCACTGGTCGCCGATGCCCAAAAGGCTGGAGACTGCAGGTCTCAACAGCTTTCAAGCTGACTCTATGTAAAAGTTGTATAAGAACTGACAGTAGAATATGCCAGGATGAAAATTAATACAGACAGCCCATGCTATAATGCAACCACATTATCTGGACTTTAAACAAAAACACCTGCTTGGCTTAAAAAGTAATCTCCCTTCAATGCAAACTCCGTTATTATACTTAAAATATCCTTAGTCCTCATTTCAAGAACTCATCTCCCCATACACATATCCAGCCTTTTAAAGTCAGATTACCACTGAACCACCACTCAGAATGCCTCACTGAATCCACAGCAATGCCCTGATACCAATCTTTATTTAGCACTAGTCTTTACTCTTGGATGGTGTGTGTTTTCTGATATGTTTATCTGCCTGAACTGTTAGAATTCCATCTTAAATTATCATCACAGTCTCTACTTTTAGTCAGGGGATTTTCAATCTTGGCATAATTTAGATTTGGTGCTGGATAATTTTTTTGTTCATGAGGGTTGTCCCATGTAGATGTCTGGCAGCATCCCTGATCTTTACCCCTTATGCCAGTAGCAACTAGCCCCCCAACTTGTGACAACTAAAATGCCTCCACAAATTGTCAAATATGCCTAGGGAGCAAACTCCCTCTGGTTGAGAACAACTGTTCTGGACAGGGAGCTGGGTCTAGCCAAGTTCAAACCCTCAGCTAGGTCTTCACAACATTTGGGGATATTCAGTTATACATCAACATGAACTCATAAATTTTAAAATTAAAGTTAGGTTTCTTCTTTAGCTAAAGAATTAAAAATTTAAGGATTAAACACTCTCATCTTCCTCAGGTTCTAGCACCACAAATTTAATGTAAAGTAAAACTTTTTTTTTTTTTTTTAAAGAGACTATCAAACAGAAATATTCGCCGGGCTCGGTGGCTCAGCCTGTAATCCCGCGCCTTTGGGAGGCTGAGATAAGTGGATTGCCTGAGCCCGCGGGTTCAAGACCCGCCTGGGCAGCGAGACCTCATCTCTACAATAAACCAAAAAATCAGCCGGGCGTGGTAGTGCATGCCTGTAATTCCGGCTACTTGGAAGGCTGAGGCAGAAGGATCGCTGGAGCCCAGCAGGTCGAGGCTACAGTGGCCAGGAGTGGCCACTGCACTCCAGTCTGGGTGACAGAGTGAGACTCCAACTCAAAAAAAAAAAAAGAAATGTTCAAGGCTCATAAATCTCATGAAATATATTTTAAAAGAAAGTAGAACTTATAGTTCTCTTTTTGTACCTATTGTACTGGTACATTAAAAACACTAACAAAAACGATGTGTTCTATATGTATTTCAAATCATGTTTACATTTTCCTTTGGCGTACCTGAAGAAACCCAGGAGGACGGTTTAAAGCTGCATCGAGAGAACTATCCAAGAACCTCACGATTCGAAGGTACCCAGGATATGAAGGGGCGCTAACCTCCCCTGCAGGATTCACAAAAAAAATCTGTACTCCGCTTGGTATTAAAATCAGCTCATCTGCATCCAGCCCCAAGGTCTCCAGAGGAGGGGGCTGAGAATGATTCCTGTAAAAGTCTTCTCCAACGGACGAAAGCTCCCCTGAATCGGTTCCGTAGGACACAGTGTAGTGGCCTTCAGCAGCCTGAGGAGTGTAAGCAGGAGGCGCTTCTGCCGGGCAACTCTGAGTCGGGACAGGCAAAGAAGCCGGAGCTGCGACTGGCCCTGCACTTGCAGCAGAAGTGTTTCCGCTCCCTTCCGGGTGCTGCAGTGAGGAACCAAAGGACCGAGGCTCTGGTAACTTTTCACATGTGTCTTTGGGCGGAAATTCTGGATATAACTTGGGCACGTCCTGAAGCTCATTCTGCAGAGAAGTGGCCAGACCCTTCTCCAGGATCTCCAGCCTGGCACGCACATTCTGAAGAGTTTCTTTCATTTTCTGTTGCATCTGTCTGGCAGATTCCCACCTGGGGCCCGTGTGCTCAGGCTCCGTGGAAGACACACTGATTCCTCGGAGCAGGTGCCCTATTCCTTGCCGATAGTGGCTCTTTGCTTCCTCCTTCTGACCTCGTTCATCTGTACTCAGTCCTTTATTAACAAATAAAAAGGCCTTCTTGTACGCTTCCTTGATGATCTTAATTTCAGCAGGTTCTCCATTTTGAGGCTCTTCCTCCATTTCTGCAAAACAGGAAACATTATCTTTAGCTATTTGTTTACTTATTTACTATCCACCTATCCTACCCAAATATATTTCAAGAGGACAGGTGCCTTCCTTGTCTCTGTTGCATTCACTACTGTAATTTTCCCTAAGCCTACTGTTGGGTCTGACATAAAGACAGCATTCAATATGTATCTGATGAATGGATAAATAAAAGTTCTTGGTCCCGAATATCTTCTTAATTAAAAAAAACAGAAGAGGGTCAGGTGGGTGGCTCACGCCTATAATCCCAGTACTTTGGGAAGTGGAGGTGAGAGGACTGCCTGAGCTCACAGGTTTAAGACCAGCTTGGGCAACATGGTGAGATCTTGTCTCTACAATAAATAAAAAAAATTAGCTGGACATGGTAGTGCGGGCCTGTGGTTCCAGCTACTTGGAAGACTGAGGCAGAAGAATCACCTGAACCCAGCAGGTTCAGGCTGCAGTGGCCATGAGCATGCCACCGCACTCCAGCTCAGGTGACAGAGTGAGACTCTGACTAAAAAAAAAACAACAAAAAAATTAAAATAAAACAAAAAGCCGGGCTCGGTGGCTCAGCCTGTAATTCCGCGCTTTTGGGAGGCTGAGGTGAGTGGATTGCCTGAGCCTGCGGGTTCGCGACCCGCCTGGGCAACTTGGTGAGACCTCATCTCTACAATAAATAAAAAAATCAGCCGGGCATGGTAGCATGGGCCTGTAATTCCGGCTACTTGGAAGGCTGAGGCGGCAGGATCGCCAGAGCCCAGCAGGTCGAGGCTGTGGTGGCCGGGAGCAGCCACTGCACTCCAGTCTGGG